ACCTTAAAATTAAGACTGGGGGTGGGGGGAGCCAAGTCAAAGCTCCTACATCCAAAGCCTCCAGGAAAAATATGAATCAGTCCCAGGCCATGGAAGAGTTCAAAAAGGATTTTGAGAAGCAAGTAAGAGAAGTAGAGGAAAAATTGGGAAGAGAAATGAGAGTGATGCAAGAAAACCATGAAAAACAGTCAATAGCTTGTTAAAGGAGACCAAAAAAAAAATACTGAAGAAAATAACACCTTAAAAAATAGCCTAACCCAAATGGCAAAAGAGATCCAAGAAGTCAATGATGAGAAGAATGCCTTAAAAAGCAGAATTGGCCAAATGGAAAAGGAAGTCTAGAAGCTCATTGAAGAAAATACTTCCTTAAGATTAGAATGGAGGAAATTGAAGCTAGTGACCCAAAGTTTTAAAAACAAATGTTAAAAATTGTTTTCACATGCAACTGGGAAATAAGAAATACAGGCAATGGGGTATAGAAATCTATCCTTCCCTACAGGAAAACTGAAGGGTAAGGGAATAAGAGGTGGGGTAATAAATTGGAGGGCAGATTAGGGGAAGGGGTATTCAGAATGCATGCCATCTTGAGGTGGGGGAGGGGTGAGATGGGGAGAAAAATTGGAACTCAAAATCTTGTGGAAGTGAATGTTGAAAACTAAAAATAAATAAATTAATTTTAAATAAAAAATAAAATTAAATTAAGACTAGGGAGATGGGCACAAAGAAGGGACATTTTTCTGGAGCAAGGGTTTGTAGACAGAGGAGTACATTTCTTAATGAAGTTGAGTAGCTAGATGATATGTCCAAAAGGTAACTCAGTGACAGGGAACACTTAGGTCAGGTTTTAAGCTTTCTTCACATAATATTGGGAAATGCTTAGTGCAAATATTATCAGAACCATTGTAGTGTGCTCACTACAGTTAACAGAACTGGATAATGTCAGGCCTGGCATGTGAACCCCCTTCATCTTCCTACTCAAATTCCAATGTTTTTTTCTACTATGCTTTAAGAGGGTGTGTGCTGTGGTGGATATAGGACTGGATTTGGAGACTTGAATCAAAAGTGTGGGTGTCCACAGCACATTTCATTAGGAAGTACACCTAGTGAACTTTATTTTTTAAGATGGATATTTATTTAATGCATTTTTGTTCATTAAATTCAAGAAATGAAAATTTAACTAAATTCCTTTTAAAATGAGGTATAGATGACTACTTATGATATTAAGATGTGCCAGCTATAGACAAGTTCTGAAAACATACAGGTACACAAACAGAATCCAAATATCGCGCCTCACACTTAGTAGCTTTGGGGCAATGAGCAAGTCATTAAAACTCTCTAGATCTCAGTTTCCTTATTTGTAAAAAGAAGATAGCAATAGTACCTACCTTACAGGGTTGTTATAAGGTTTAAGTGGGATAGCACATGAAAAAATAATTTAACAAATTTTAAAATGCTATACATTATTTAAAGTCAGCTATGATTATTATTGTGGCATAACACCACCTTAACTAAAACAAATGTTTTGGAAAAACTTAGTCCAACATTAAATCCTAAGGAGACCTTATTTAATGCCATTGAATGGGGGAATTGGACTAGGAATCACAGGAACTAGGCTTTAACCTTGACTCTGCCCATGGATCAGCCATGTGAATTTGGGTTAGTCTCTTGAGGAGGAAAGTAAAGTCTGGAGAGATCAAGCAAGCAGCCCTAATTCACATATCTAATCCATGGACAGAGGAGAGGCAACGTAGAAAGGGAGACAGATTGTTAGACTTGGAGTCAGCAAGACATAGGTTCAAATCCCTCCTAAGATACTTATTGGCTAAGTGATGCTGGGAAATCACTTAACTTGTCTGAACCTCAGTTTCTCATCTGTGAAGAGAGGGGAATGTACTTAATGGCTTCTGAAACCCCTTTCAGATCTAAAAATATGATCCTATGAAGAGATTTTCTTTAAGTACTCTTATAATACTGGCCGCCTATGAGTCTATGAATTCTATATGTAGCCCATCACTGTAGTGTAAACCCCTAACTCTCTCAAAGTTCTCTTCCTAGGCTGAGGCTGGCTTGTTTACCTGAAGAGTCAAGATGTTTTCCCAGAGGGATAGCCATACTACTACAAATAATATTCAAGATCTTAGGGATGTCGTATGTCATATGGTGCAAAAACATATATGGTAACTATACATTACTTTAGCTCCTCAGGCCCCAACCAGTGGGCTTCCCATTTAAACAAATTAACCAAGGTGAACTCATTAGATTTTGAGAGGTAGCTCGGTGATACAGCAGATAGAGTTCCAGAATTGGAATAAGGAAGACTTGAGTTGAAAACCTGCTTCAGATACTTACTCGGTATGACCAAGTTACTACTACGTCTTTGAGCTCAGTCTCCTCATCAGTAAAATCCAATCCAATCCTGTAAACATTTATTAAATGCCTACAACATTCCAAGCAATGTGCTAAGTGCTGGGGATACAATTAATCAAAAGAAAGTCCCTACCCTCAAGGAGTTTACAATCTAAATGGAGAGACCACACACAGAAGGAGACAGGAAACCATGGGGAGGGAGACTCCAAACTGGGGGCATCTTGTACTGTAGAGTTGAGATCAGGTTTTCAGATGAAAAGTGTAGTGAGCTGAGAATCCAATTCCTGCCCTCTCTAAAGAAAGGCATTGGGAGGAATTTGGTACTCCACCTTCTAGCCCTCCAGAGAGGAGAGGAGGCCAAAGGAGGTGGAGTCGATCAAGGCTTGAATCAACAGCTTGGGGTTGAGTTTAGAATTGATGTGCTTATCCTGGAAGGGGCATCTTGTTTCAAGGAATTGAAATCAGGCAGGGCAGCAGAGGGAAAATGGAATATGGAGATAAATGATAGTACCCACCTCATAGAGTTGTTGGGAGATATTATTGTAGTTGTGAGATGTTATCAGATGAGATAACATATGTAAAGTGCTTTGGTAACCTTAAAGCACTCTATAAATGGCATCTATTATCTAAGTGATGAAACTTACAACAGGTGGCAAAGAGATAATAAACATAATACAACATGACAGTTCATTCATTAGCCTCTGCCTCACTTTCCCACCCATGCATATAATGTCTGTGGGACACAAGAGTGGAGAAACTTAGGTGTCTGAAACAACTTACTGTAGGCTTTCCTACCCTTGGTGTCTTCAGGGAATAGTCTGTGCTGTATGTCACCCTACAGGTTGGGACTGTTGCTAACCTGAGTCTATCTACTTTCTTTCCAGATGAACCTGCTTCTCTGCTATTCACAGGCCAGTGAGGCAGGGGTAAGCTGCTTTAGTCTGAAGTAGCCTTAAGCCTAAAATCTGCAGAGCTTTCCAGATCTGCTGCCTTGGTTGGGTACTGCAGCAGTGTTATACTCTTTGAGTGAAAAGAAGCTCTTTTAAGGTTGAGATCTGCAAAGCTATTTAGGACACTTCTCTGGGCTTTTGCAGGCTTTACTATCTCAAGCCAGAGTAATACTGGTAACTTCTGAAAGGTTTCCTCTATCTTAAGCTGGAAACAGCACTACAAAGCAAGGCAACAAGTCAGCTCTTGAAACAACAGAGGACAATGTTCTGTCCAGTCAGCTTCCAGCATCAGAACTTCCCTTCAATCAGATCAGCTCTCCAAAATCAATGGCAGGGCTTGCCTGGCTCTTAGTTTGTCCCAGATGGGCTCCATTTCATTTTCAGTCTTCACCTTGTTTCTCTTATTGTCATCTCTTAGCTCTGTAGGCTTCTTAGATTAGCTTCTATCTTCTAATTCCCTTCTTTTTCTGTTCTGCCTTCTGTCTTAAATCAGAGCATCCTCTGTCTGTGTTTCTTCTCAAGCAATTATGTGAGGTGCTACTTTTCTCTCAGATCCTCTTAAAACTTTCTGCGTTTCTCCTCAAACTGCATTTTACTTTTTCTCACACAAATGTCCTAATTTCTTTGTCCCTTTCAGTTAACTAAATGTCCACATAAGATAGGGGGCAAAACTTTATGTACATATATGTATGTATATATATATATATATATATATATATATATATATATACATATTTGTAGTGTAGTTGGTTCTTCTAAAAAGATTAAGACTTTGTCCTTTTTAAAAATATTCTCTCACAACATTGGTAACCCCACAGGTATGATCATAACTGGTGAATGCATATGGATTTTTCCATGAAGAACTTTCTTTGTTACTAGGAAACATTCAAAACCTTATGTTCCTATAGGAAGGAAAGTAAATTACATTAAACTAGAGAATTTATTCTTCTTTTAGGATAAAATAATTTAATTTGAACTTTATTGATATATTTTGCTTTATACCATTAATTTCCAAATATATCTATCCTTCCCTTCTCCCCTATCCAAAAGGCTATTCTTTGCAATCACAAAAAAGGAAAAAAAGTCAAAAAAGAAGGCAATTCAGCAAATTAACCAGCACATCAATTGAGTATGACAATGTATGCAACATTCCATGCCCATAGTCCCCACTCTTCTCCAATGAAAGGAGAGAAATACAGCATTTGTTCTTAACTGATTGAAGAATTGCATTTATTATTTGAACCCTTCTCAAACATCAGTTTTCATCACTGAAAAGGTCTACTATCATGGTGCCTGAACTATAATTTCTTCTAATTGTATTTTATCCCCTCCATGTGTCTATGTATGTGCCCCCTGAAGAAACAGCATGGCATTATGATATCTGCATAGAGTGTTTGACAATGGATTTGAAAAGATGTGGGTTTAAATTCCTCCTTCGACAGCTATTAGCTGTGTGACCCTGGGGAAGTCATTTAACATGTCTATGCCTCAAGCAGTGTTCTGGTACTTACCAATTAAGCTATAGACAATTTGTGATTGACATCTGCAGAGGAAATTTCTACATTGAAAGGTTCCTACTGACCAGGTCAGAAATCTTTCATATATAAATCCTTTTGGGTTATTGCATACAATCAAGAGTGTGGTCATTAAGGTGTATAATCAAGCTACATTTTCTTTTTATAGGAAGAACTGAAAAGATTGCAGCCAACAATCAAACAAGTTAGCGATGGAAAATATGTATTTGAAAAGTAAGTATTAAAAAGTAATTAATTGCTAAAAATGCTTTAGAATACTGCTCAAAGTGTGAAAAGTTCATGCTTTGTAATGATAGGAAAATGTAAAAATATGCACAGAAAATTAACGAGTTGACCCAGGTGATTTGGGATGTGTCTTTTAGCTCTAAGGATAAAAGAATCAAGACTCAACATAAGCTTAAGAAACTGAAATTATGAAGTGAAGCCAGCAAGAGAACATTTACCTGGGCCAAACTCTGTAAAACCCTGGATTTAAGTTTAGAATATCAGTCACACAAGTCTAGGATTGAGAAGATGTGGATTTGTGGATTACACCCACGTGTAAAATATGTACCTTTAGTTGACCACAGACTTACTATGAGCCAACAGTGTGAAAAGGGTAATTAAAAAAAATAAATGCCATATCTGTCTGGCTAATCAAAATATTGCATCACAGCTACAGAATTTTTTTTAAAATTCTGGGCACATTTTATTTTATTTTATTTTATTGGTTAGGCAGTTGGGGTTAAGTGACTTGCCCAGGGTCACACAGCTAGTAAGTGTCAAGTGTCTAAGGTTGGATTTGAACTCGGGTCCTCCTGATTCCAGGGCCAGAGTTCTATCCACTGTGCTACCTAGCTGTCCCAGGGCACCACATTTTAAGTAGAGCACCAGCAAATTGAGTGTACCTAGGAAGGGGCATCAAGATGGTAGGGAATCTAAAAACCATATGAAAAATGGATGATGAAGCTACAGATGCTTTTCTTATAGAAAAGATAATTTACAGGGCCTTTTTCTCCAAATATTTGGAGAGATATTTTTTGGGAGATGGATTTTATAATTATTCTCTACAGTTCCATAGGGCAGAACTAGGAGCCGCAAAGATTTTGGCTCTGATTTTGAGAGGGTGCTAACTGAGTTGTCAAACAATGAAATCATTCTCTGTGGAGGAGGGAGTTCCTTCTACAGAATTGTTTGAGCAGAATGTAAGCTACCTGAGAGTACAGACTGTTTTTGCAGTTTCTTTGTATCCCCAGGGCTTAGTATAGTGCCTGGTACATAGTAGGTATTTCATGTGTATATATGTATGTGTATATGTGTGTGTGTGTGTGTGTAAAAATGTGTGTATATATATATATACACATTCATATATAGATATATAGAAGTACATATGTACCCATATAAATAGATTGCTCAATTTTGAAGTACAATAGAATGATAAGATGATGATGATGATGATAACTAACATTTATATGGATCCTACTATGTGCCAGGCACTTTACTAAGAGCTTTACAAGTATCTCATTTGATCATCACAACAAGTCTGGAAGATAGATGTTATTATTATCCCTATTTTACAGATGAAGAAACTGAGACCAACAGAGGTTAAGTGATTTGCCTAGGGTGACAAAGCTCATAAGTATGTGAATCATATTTGAATTCAGGTTTTTCTGATTCCAGACTGGGTGCTTTACTGACTGTGCAGCTGTGTTATCATTACTGTTACTAGCTGTTGTTTCTGGAGTAGAGGAGCTGGCTGCCTGGCAAAAGCCCTACTGCTTTTTATTTTATCTCACTTAATTTATATTTTAACATATATTTAATATATATGTTTATACAAATATGTATTGGGTATTTATATTATATATAATGTACATATGTATGTGTGTGTGTATATATATATATATATATATATATATATATATATATGCTTACTTTTTTTTCTCACTGACCACTGGACATATATTTTGCTAAATTAAATGATGCCCAAATTACTGAGCTTCTTTTGTTCGCCTCCTTTTCTCCTAGAAACACATCCTAGTGCCATCCAAAGGGGAAAGGCCAGCACAAATCTCAGCTTCTAGTAGCTAATTACTTTAGAAGGCAAAGATGGGAATGATTTGGGAGACTCCTAAAATAGTCTCATTGCCGGCAGGGTCTTGGCCTGGCCTCCTTGCCCCATCCATCCTGCACACTGCTGCCAGATTAATGAATCTTCCTTCATAGCTTTTCCATACCTGTATGCTTATCTCCCTCATTCCAAGGGGACAGGGATTCTTTTTCTTTTTCTTGTACACCTAGCGTTTAGCAAAGTGCTGACATGTAGTACGTGCTTAATGATTGACTAACTGTTGGTATTCTCATGCCAGGTATAGTATGTACAGTACCTTACACCTAGTAGGTGCTTAATAAATATTGTCTGATTGATTTGTTACACCCAAAATTGGTTGAAATAAGAAGGCCTTGCTCCCTTTTTTCTACTTGGCATCTTTAGAAGTAAAAAAGGATGAGTACAATGGCCAACTACCCATGTTTGGGAGCCTCAAGGTTCCATGTTGCTTCTGAAATTCATTGTAGGAAATGGCTCATCCTTGGAGAGAGACCTACAGTGATGCTGGGTTGCTCCAATACAGCCCCAATTCCTATTTGGAAGCTGCCCCAGGACAGGAGTAAGCAAAACTTCAATGTCCTTCTTTGGCTGTTTGTCATTTGTTAGAACTTTCGGTGAAGGGTTTGTTGAGAAAGATCTTGAGTTTGTGAGCTGAAATGATGTTCCTGGATCATGGTATCCCAGGCCCCAATTAATGTGGATAATTCAGAATTAATTGTAGTTCTTTATATCTTCTCTACTTTCTCCCCAACACCTATTAGAAATAACAATTTCAATGAGGTTTTGTTTCTCTCTCTCTCTCTCTCTCTCTCTCTCTCTCTCTCTCTGACATTTGAAAATAATTTAGCTTTATAGAGATTGGTGTTGTAGTGGAATTTTCCAGGGATACATTTTCAATCCTTGTTGGCTAGACAGTGATGGCCTGGTAATGGATAATTCCCCGGAACAATGGCCTTCCAAACATGCCTCAAGGTACTTTTATAGAATTTTCCTCTTTTGGTGCTCATTATTAATTTAAATCTAGGAAATGAACCATGAATGGTGCTTTATGTGTGTGCATGTGTGTACATGTTTGTGTGTGTATGCTCATGCTAATTGACCCCAATATTGTAATAAATTACACCCAAAAGCTTCAGTGTGAGTAGAGGAGTGTGGTAGAGGAACTTTTCTAGCTGTGTTCTCTCACATGGATGTTTAAAGATGGATGTTGTAATAGTAGGTAGTCTCCTCTGCCCCTTTCCACTGATTAGCTCTTCCTGATCTTTCTGATTCCCAATGACCTTTCTCCTCTGTCTTCACATCCAATCTTTTGTGGAGGTGGCTTATTGTCCTGTTCTATTCCAAGCCCCTTGTGAGAGCAGTTATCACATCACCTTGTCTTATCTAAAGGAAGAGAGAAGGAAAAAGAAAGTAGGAGAGAAAGGGAGGAGGAGAGAGAGAAAGGCAAAGGAAGGAAGAATTAGGGCTAGGGTTTCCACATTATCACCCATCAGAGGTGAGATATGAACCTAGGTTACACACCAGCCAGACTGGGCTGCCAGCTGTTTGCTAAATTTGACATTTACTCTATCTTCAATTCAGTATCTTTGCACAGGCTATTATCCATGACTACAATACATTCTATCTTCACCTCTCTTTCCAAGAATCCATACTTTTCTTCAAGGCTCAAGGGATCATCTCCTCCACCAAGCCTTTATTAGTTCTCTCTACTTCAAATTGCCTCGTATTTACTTGTCTGTAGTAGCAGCCAGGTGGCTCAATGGATAGAGCACTGATCTAGAAGTCAGAAGACCTGAGTTAAAATCTGTCCTCAGACACTTACTAGCCATGGCTCCAGGCAAGTCGTTTAACCTCTGTTTGCCTCAGTTTCTTCATCTGTAAAATGGGGATAAGCATAGCACCTACTTCCAAGTGTTGTGAGGATCAAATTAGATAATAATTGTAAAGTACTTAGCACAGTGTCTGGCACAGAATAAATATTATATAAATGTTATTGTTGTTATTAATAATTATCATTAATTATATCAAATTATGAAATTCATTTAAATTTTATAATTAACATTATCAATTATTGCTATTGATATATATTTATATTTTTATATTTTCATGAAATGGAAATGCGTATTTTACAAACATAAATATACTTGTATATTCAGAATATATCTCTATACCTAAAATTATATAAACATTAGAATTATAAATTATAGATATTAATAAGTGTGATTATTTTGAACCCTAATAGTATGCTATAAACTTCTTGAGGGCAAGGATGGTTTGATTTTTTTGTCTTCATATCCCCAGTTTCTAGCACAATGCCTTGCACAGAGTAGATACTTAATAACAAATGTTCACTACATTGAATATTCCAAAGAGTCCAGTAGAATATCTTTTCCACCACAGGTACTCAATAACTATTTATTTATTGTTGCTTATTAATGACCAACATAGATTCTCATCTTGGCTGTCTGAGGTTTCATAGAAGGAGTAAGAGTATAGATCTCTCCAGCATGTCCATTAGAGTGTGATGAAACATTTCTACAATATTTGACTGCCTTCATATTTCTTCCCTTAATATAGAGACAGCAAGAAGCCAGCTTAGAGAAAGGAAGAGCTAAATTCAAATCCAGCTCATGCATTTTCTAATTCTGTGACCCTGGGCAAGTCACAACCTCTATCTACCTCAGTTTTCAGCCACAAATCGCAAGAAGGCCAACCACCCATGTTTGTTAGGCCCCAAAGTTCCATCTTGCTTCATAAATTCAACATAGAGACAATTTTTTGTCAGAGACAAATGAGAGTCATATTGCGAGGATTAAATAAGATAATATTGGTAAAGTGTTTAGCACAATGCCTGGCACATAGTAGGGGCTTACTAAATGCTGGCTTTCTTTTTTCCTCTGCTGAAGTCATTACGTCATCTTCAGAACTTTCTCCTCTACTCTCTTGTTTCTTTTCCCTTTTTACTGATTAGTAACAAAGCTGTACTTATGGTACAATCTAGTGGCTCATTCTGGGAACTATTTAACTTGCCTTAAGAATGAGTCAATGATACCAATATCTCTATAAGTTAATCTATAAACTCTTCAAAACTTTCCAGTGGGTCAATGTCTTCCTAATTAGTCTTTTCTCACATCTTGTTTAGTTTCATGGGAGGACCACTGGTAGAATCAAAGAAACCCGGATTTGAATACCATCTCTAACATTTACTAACCATAGCTATGTGGGTGAATTACTTCATCCCTCTGAGTCCTAGTTTTCTTATCCGTCCAATGGATATAATAATACCTGTGCTACCCACATTACAAGATAATGGTGATAATGGTCACCAAAATAGTTAATTTATGCAAAGTACTTTGCAAATCTCAATTCTTTTGTTCTTTTATCACAATATACGACTACTTTATCCTTAAATTAAAATAACACAGAAAAAAAGAAGAGTGAGAAGATAAAAGGTGAAATTGCATTTTTCTTCTATCACATTTGTTTGTTTCTACATGGTGAATGCATCGTTAGTAAATCCTAATAATCTGTTCATGCAAACAAAAGTAAATTTGTGGTGACTGTAAAATGAATATCAATTAGTCTTGAAAATAAATACATCTACTTAAGTAAACATTAAAACATTAATTATTCTTCCAGCCACCAGATTGCCATGGATATGGAGGATAATATTGAAAAATATCACCTCAATCTTCAGCCATTGGAATCAAAAGTGAAAATGTAAGTAATCTCAAAACGTCCTTTGTGATATTAGTGCTACATTTCAGATTTTGTGGAAGTTTTGGTTGGATTTTTTCTGTTATATGCACTGTCTGCGTTACAAACAGTGGCTTTATGACCATCTTGTATACATGACGATCTGGTTCCACACTGCCTCCACTCTTCTCTGCATTGCCTAATGTCCTATACCTCTCTCCCAGTTGTCTTGAGCTGATGGTACCACCTAGTGGCCAATGTGGGGAATTTTCTGATCCAACTTAATTTTTCTACTTACTTTTCTGAGGGTATTTGCACATTCTGTTTTTCTATCTTTTACTTCTTCTCCAGAGTACCACCCAGGTGGGATGGGACCATGGTCAGTCTCCACTTAGAGTTAGGTTGTGGTCAGCAGACCACTTCCCAGCCGAATGTCTGTCCTTATCCTACCTGGAATCTGTACTTTTCTCTGTCTCTGTCTCTGTCTCTGTCTCTCTCTCTGTCTGTCTCTGTCTCTCTCTCTGTCTCTCTCTCTCTCTGTTTCTGTCTCTGTCTCTGTCTCTCTTTCTCTCTCTGTCTCTCTGTGTCTCTCTCTCTGTCTCTCTGTCTCTCTGTGTCTCTCTTGCTCTTCCCCTCCCCCCAAGAATAATTTGAAGAAGCAGCATGGTCAGAATAGCAATGAGCTTAGAATCAGGAATGTGTGGGTTTAAATCTCATCTCAGACATTTGCCAGCTACGTGACTCTGAGCAAGTCACTTGACCTCTGTGTCCCTCAGTTTTTGTATCTGTAAAATGAAGGCATTGACCTTGATAGATTCTGATGTTACTTCCAGCTCTGGATCTCTGCTCCTGAGATACTTTGATTCTTGGAGTCAAGAAACTTAGATTCAAGACTCAACTCTTCCATCTCCTAGCTGAATGATATCAGCCAAGTTATTAAATCTTTATGAAACTGAGTTTCCTCATCTATAAAATGGGGGTGATAATCCTTATAGTATTTGCATTTGTGAGAGGTAGCCTAGCATAATAGAGGGAGAAAATTGTCCTCAAAATTGGGATAAGATGTGACACAGAGACTATGTACAAGACTCACAGGAAGCTCCCACACAAGATCAGTTGATGATGTTGTTTGCGGAAAAATCCACTCCAGAGCTAGCCCATAATGCCACCTCTCAGGACAAAACACAACCCAGCATCATCATCGATTTGGCTTGCTGCTAGGAAGACTGTGGCAAATTCATGGAACAAATAAATATTCTGGAAGCAGGGAGTGAGACTCAGAGCAAAAGGACTGTTTTAAGTATGTACTTGATGTATCGTCGTTATCACTACCACTATCATCATTATTGATTCATTTGGTAATATAAAAGCCTTTGTGAGAGGCAGCCTGGTACAGTGAAGAGAGAGCTGACCTCAAATTTGGAAATGGATAATGCTCAAAATGAGCAAGTATATCACCTCCTATTTACACCATACTTTAAAATTTGCAAAGCACTTTTCAGACATTATCTCACCGGTGACTTATAATAACCCTATGAGGTAAGAACTATATTGCTATACCCATTTTACAGATGGAAGCTATTACTGAATAAATATTTATTCATTTTTTCCATGAGTAATACATTTTCATCATGGTTGCCTAGGATTGCCCAGATGTTGGTGACTTACCCATGGTCACAAAGCTAAGTTTCAGATATAATATTTGAATCTGGGTCCACCTTACTCTCAGTCTAGAACCCTTTCTGCTATGCAACAATATCCCCCTGAGAATTAGAATGATAAATTGGGGGCAAGACTATGGAAATTTATACATAAAAATGATCATTTAGAAAGGGCAAGTCAGATACTGAAATAGAGTCTCTTTCTCTCTGTCTCCCTCCCATTTTTCACCTGGAAATAGAGGTGGTTGGACTAGGTGATCTTTAAATTTCCTTTTATTTTAATAGATTATATGATTCTATGAAAGAGAGAAAAGACTGTGTGAGGCATAATGGTACAATGTAGTCAGCCTTGGAGCCAAGAAGACTTGAACTCTTGGGTTCAATTCTAGCCTCCAAAGTTAGCTAAGTGACCGTGAATAAAGTCACTGAACTGAGTACAGTGCCCAGGGGAGCTGTCTAAGATTATAAGTTACTTTGTATCTGTGTATCACTATGTGGGAATACTAACTCCATCATTAGAATATAAACTCTTTGAGGGCAGGGTCTGTTTCATTTCTTTCTGTGTATACTCTGAGCCTAGCATAGTACCTGGCAAATAGTACATAGTCAATAAATAACTTTGAATTATTTGAGTTATTTGAGTGATTCAATTGAGTGATTCAAATTACAGATGAATTGCCAATGTCTGTAGAAGAAGCAAGAATGTATCCTGAGAGTTTCCTATACCCTTGAAATGGCTATTCTGGCCATCTCCCGTCCCTCCCACCCCAAAAGAGGAAAGAGTATTTTGAACTACAAACATTAAATTGCCCTCTGAGCAATATGGGCCATTGGGAGAAGTAAATCCAGACACTATTATGATGATGAGTGTTTGGCATGGTGTATAAAGTGACTTTGAGTGTTTAAAAAAAAATCTATAAACAGAGAGACGGATTGCTAATGGAATTTAAAAGCACATTGAAATGGTGGTACACAAGGAGCCTGGAATAGGACTGCAAATATAAAGAGGTAATTGGCAGTTTTAGACTTGAAAGATCAAGGGACACAATTGAAAAAAGCCAAGAGAAGGAAGAATGTAGCTTCTTTAGAAAGCAGTCATTTGGAGTCAAGAAAGCCGGGTTTTCTGAAGAATAAGCACATTCAAGCCTCACAAGTCACAAAATTTAGTGAAGGAAAGAGGAATCATAAAAGGGGGAAAATTGAAGGCTTTCAACCCAGGAGTGTAAAGAGGAGACTATTGTACTCTTAATAGCCAGAGGGCTAAACAAGTGTCGGCAGAAAGATGAATAAAAATGAAGGGTGGGCATTTCTAGGCACAGAGGGCTGGCCATCAAGTAAAAAGTCTGGTTTTACAAGCCACATGGAAATCTGTGTCCCTATTTTAATATCACGTCTTGCCAAAAGTAAAAAAGGGATTGAATTTTTTTTTCGCATGCAGTTATTTAAAAATCTCTGCCTAGCATATATTCAATTTCATTCCTGTTTTTCCAAAATATCAGCATCATATTTTTTCTATTAGAGTCCTGCTCCATTGCTTCATCCTGATAGAGAAACAGCCCTGGGCCCTCAAGGCCATGCTAGTGGAATATGAGCTCTGTTTCATTCTACCCAGATGGGATGGCTTCAGGTAGGGCTGGGAAATGGATTGAGTGTCTGCCATCTGAAGACCAGTCAAAATGTGTATCATCACCGGACTAATTGATCAATTTTATTGGATGTAGTAACTCAACAAGGTATGAGTGGAAGAGTTGGGAGCATCAGTGGAACGAGTAACTACATAGTAAAATCTCAGCTCTTATAAGTACTTAAGTCAAGGGATAGGGACTTCACCTGTTATTTCATTGATGTGGGGAATTTCTGGATGAGAGAATGTCTTCTACCAATGTAGGTCAGTACCTTGTCTGCAGCTTAGAATCTCAAAGCATTGCCACCCTCAATAGTTCCAAATGCAGCAGAAACCAGATTAAAATGTAGGTCTTATCTGATTTTAAGGGGCAGCTAGGTGGTATAGTGGATAAAGTGCCAAACCTGGAGTCAGAAAAATGGAGTTCAAATCTGGCCTCAGACATGTACTAGCTGTGTGACCCTGGGCAAGTCACTTAACCCTGTTTGCCTCAGTTTCTTCATTTGTAAAATGAGCTGGAGAAGGATATGACAAACTGCTTTGCTAAGAAAGCCCCAAGTGGGTTATGAAGAGTTGGACAGACAGAAACAACTGAACAACAACAACATCTGATTTTAATGTGTTGATGCATTACCAAAAAAGATATATATATATATATATATAAACATATGAGGTTTTCTAAGTTAGTATGTGATCCAAGGGGTTCTTATATATGATCGAGTGGCCCCCATTTCTACTTGAGTTTGATACTACTGACCTAGAACATTGAGAGGTTAAGTGACTTCCCTAGTTGGGGTCAAACAGCCAGTGTGTGTCAGAGGTTCAATTCAATTCAATAAATATTTATTAAGCACCTGCTATGTGCCAGGCACTGTGCTAAGCTCTGAGGATACAAAAAGAGGTAAAAGATAGTCCATGCCCTCAAGGGGCTTACAATCTAATGGAAGAGGTGGGACTGGAAGCCAAGTTTTCCTGAGAAGGGAGGGGGACTGTAATTCCTAGATCAGCTCTGCTCTTGTCAGGAAGCTGACAATGTCCTCTTGGTCAACAGCCACATCAAATGGAGGAGAGAGACAGACAGAAAGAGAGACAGAGAGACAGAGAGAGAGAGACAAAGAGAGAGAGAGAGACACACAGAGAGAGACAGAAAGACAGAGAGAGAGAGAGAGACAGAGAGACAGAGACAGAGAGAGAGACAGAGAGAGAAAAGTAAGAGAACTTAGCAGAGGGGATTGATGATTATGTTTTGAGCATTGAGGCGGGACTCCTTGGGCTGTATTAGATGAATGTTAAGGTCTATTCCAACTCCAGGATTCTGGGACATTCCATAAAGAGCCCCCAGTTTCCTGATCAGAGTCAAGTGAGTTGGAATGGCTACAGGGACATGAATGGACCCAGGTGTGAAAAATGCCCTGTCATACATCTTTCCTGGACCTTCAGACCCCCTGGAATTCTGTTTCTTCTGAGATTGTGGAATTCAACCATGTGGTGTCACCAGTGGGGCGTTAGGACTAAAACGATAAACTTTTGTGACAGGGAGAAGCTCAGGACCATCGAAAGCTCTGTGTAGTTTCCCAAATCAATCTGCCCCATTCTCTTCTTCCTACTCTACTCTGGACCAACTTCACACTTTCTTTTCAATGCCTCCCTAAGGCATTGTCACATTTAGATGAAGGAAGGAAGGAAGGAAATAGGCACCTTTTATGTGTCAGGCACGTACTAAGCACTTTACAAGTATC